CCCACGCCGACGCTACCCCGAACTCGACGCAAACCATTGCCACCCTGAACTTGACACCGCACTAGCTGGCGCCAATGAACCACCCACTCCCCAATCCTATAAACCCCTTATTTCTCCCTTGAAACCCCCTCCCCTCCCCACCGTCGGTGTTCGAATTCCCAAGCCCATGTCGTCGAACCCAAACTGCACCTCCTCCCCAGTCATATCCACCCCCTGAATCACCACGCCGAACCCCAAAATAAAAAACCCAAAATTAAAACCCTAGGTTTTGGTTTTTAGGGTTTCGATTTTGGGGTTTTAGGGTTTCGGGGTGGTGGTTTTTGGCTAAGGTGAGCGGCGGCGACGTGGGGGATGGAACCTGGCTGCCGGCGAAGGTTTTCGGCTCAGGTGGTTTGGAATCGGGGGTGGTTGCCTGATTTTCCGATCAGGTGGTTTGTCGGGGAGGGTTGGTTTTATACGGTTCAAGGCAGGAGGAAAAAAAACGGTGGTTCGGGGAGTTGCGGCGCCGTCGTGGGGTTAGGGGGAGGTGCAGCGCTAGCGCGGTGGGGAGGCTGGGCATGCCGGCTGTTTTGGGGAGGTGGCTGGGATGGGGTTTGGTGGTCGGCGAATGGTTGGGGTAGAGGTGGTTTGTTTTTAATTTTTTTTAAATTTTTTTTTGTTTATTTTAAATAGTTAAATAATTAATTAAAAAAATAACCAATCAGATGCTGCCATGTGACAAATTTAGCCTTAATGACTAACGGAGTTAACTGCCATTAGTCATTAAGGGCTTTTCGTGACGTTTGTGTGAAACTTAAGTGTATATGGTGAATTTGAAATTTTTTATGGGTATATGGTGAATAAAAAAAATAACTCAAGGGTATTTGGTGAAAAATCCGTATTTTGTAACGTCTTTTCTTTTCTTTAAAAATCTCGATGATCATCATCTCTAATTCATCTAAACTTAATAGTATTAATATTGATCTGAACCTTCCTTTTTTCTTCTCTAAAATAAGTGGAAATAAGACGAATACTTTAGGGCCTGATATGTGATGAACAGAGTATATGTTTTGGCCTTTTGGGGTGCATCAAACAATCATGTTCAAAGTTAAACTCATAATTCTAGCCTTTTTAGGCACAGTAACTTGATCTGAAGTTTACATGGGCTTTATGGCCTGGCCCAATTTTCTGGTCCTTGGCCCAAATTAAAAATGAAAGAAAAATTCAGTTTCTAGTTTTCTACCCAGTCGAAACAATACAGTCTCGTTAACTCAAAGGTTTTCCGAGGTTCTTCTATCTCTCATTTTCTCTCTCCTACTTTCTCTTAAACCCTTATTTTCAATCTTTATAAAATTCCAAAGTTTAATCTCAAATTATCTGTTAGTTGATTTGAATTTTTATGTAATTTGATTCAATTACACCTTAACTTCTGCGAAATTTCTTGTTGATTTCAGATTGAATTTCATTTTTTTTTGGGTGAAATCACACAAAATTTGCAGAAAAGCACAAAAATGCCGTCGTTGCAAACCTCATTACCTCCAGAACTCGCCAACAATGTCATCAGAGTTAGTATCTTTTCCTTCCTTTACCTTCAACTTTGATCAATGAATTGTTTTTTTTTTTTGGAATTTAATTGGTAGTAGGAGATTTTAATTTCATTTGTTTGTTTGTGTATTTATAGCTTTACCGTGAATGCCTCCGACGAGCTAAATATATTGGCGCTAAGGTTCGTATGTCCTTCGCCTTGTTTTGCTGGTTTTTCGATCTTTTGTTCATTGATGATCACTTGCTATCTGTTAGTTACAGGAGAAATGTTATATATTTACATGTATATGATGATCTTATAGATTATAAGTTTGGCTCAGTTCATTCCAAAATTAGGAAAATTGATAGTAAATTTGGAGATTAGGAAATGCAATGTTGCTTCTATACCGCTTTTCTTAGGATGGAGGTGCACTAGAGGTTGTGTTTAGACATTGATTCGATGTTTGTATGATGAAGCTGAATCATGAAGCTTGTAAGGATTTTTATGTGGATATGGGAATTTAGATATCAAATATTAAATTTCCATTTAGTACTATGAAAAGCTAAAATCAGAGGGGGGGTTAATGTTATTGTGAAGAATGTGAACCACGAAGGCCATATAACAATATATGGAACTCTGTATGCTTTAATGTGGTTACTAATTGTTCAAGAACCGAGTTTGAAGATGAAAAGAACTGCCTATCTCTAAAGTCTTGAACTTCTTTGGTAAATTACTTCTTAGATGAAATTCTTGGGACAACAAATTATATGGTTTAATTAGAGTTGATGTCATAGATTTAGTCTATTCCAAAGCATTGAGATGAAGGTATGCAATTTGATACAATGGCTGAATGGCATTTCAATAGGATTTGGCTCTTGTTACATTCGATTGTTGATTCTAATGCTGATGAGGCACCCCTCTTCTTCAATGTCCCCAAAAGATGGTTTCTATCATTGATCAGTACTACTGTAGCTCTTTGAAAGAATAAGGGGAAACAAGAGTGAATAGAGAAAGGGAGTTCTCTTGTTTTCCTTTTTGCTTTGGCCTAGAAAGGTGTTCGAGGTGATATGACATGGATGAATTATGTTGAAATGAAACATGAGTGAACTCGGAATTCCAGATTAAGTAATTCTCTTTTCTTTAAAAATATAAAAATAAAATTGTGAACCAAAAGTCTCCTTAAATATGATCTTGCCCATCTTAGATAATTTGAAACCAAAATTGGCCTTTTTACATTCACTTGAAGCTTCTCTGATGAGTGATTGTATGAGGTTTGAGCTTATCTCTAATACAGTCTTAAGCGATTTGAGTTTTGAGGCATTAGAGCAGTAGTTTAGCTTTGGTAAGAGATTTTTGTTAATTGTACAGACGTCAAGACTGGTGGGGGCAATTCATCTATAATTTCAATAATTTAGTGGATGTATGAGCCACTGTTAAAAACATCTATGGTTTTGATAATTCTTGAGTTTGGCAACTTTATTCACAGACAAGAATATATCCGCCAGTTTTTGTGAACAAATCATGATAACAATTGCATGGCTATTAGGTCACTATTGTTTAGATTCAGAAAACCACAATAGAAGATTCATAATTTTAATGGATTAATAAGTTCTCGCCATTTGACCTTCAGGCTACTCTTATATTCAATTGATTAGGTGTCGATGACCATTGTTATATAAATGTACGAGTATAAAGTAAAAAGTATATATGTTTCTTGACATATGTCTTTTGATTTTGTCTTGAATATGCAGCAATATAACACAGAGCTGTTGGTTGACTTGGTGAGGCAGCAATTCAGAAGAAACATGCATGAGACAGATCCAGAGAAGATTCATAAGCTAAAGGATGAGTAAGCTTTAGTTCTAACCATTTGTGCCAACACAAAATAACTTTTAGTATTTCATTTCACATTATTCTTTAGCCCATTTTATCTGCTAGATTTATACCCCCCTCTTTATGGTTCTAAGAAGGATGATGTTTAAGAGGTCAAACAAATATAAATATATCAGTAGAATGGTCTTAGTATGACAATAAAATGAACTGAGAGAGTATTAGAGGTGCATATTGCTTCTCTTATTCCTTGTGATATTCCCTTAATCTACTTTTTTTAATACAATCAGGTTTTGGACATCTGATGATTTCAATCTGTTTGTATGCAGTGCGGCAAGAGGACTTATAAATCACATGCTGTATGAGTCAGAAAAACTATCTGGTCGTAAGTTCAGCAAAAGCTAAGCTTTTGACTTCATTGCATTGAAGATTATGGTCCATTTGTTGGTGTTGATGCTCTTTCCATTGAGTATGTTGTAATAACTGATTTTAGTACTGTTACGGTGCTGGCATTTTGGTGGTATAAAATACTTTGGAAAGGTATTGAGCTATTCCAATTGTATTGAACCATATTAGAAGAGATTAGTTGGTCGAACGAGCTTTTAAGATTTTGCTAACTGGCCGTTATAGAAGTTGGAACAATTGATATATTTTGGTCCTTTTGGATCAAATCTTCGACATAAGAAATCTATTTGTTCCAAATTTTGGTAGAATATTTTTCAAATGAGTAGAACAAAGTGATGTTATTGGTACGAGTGGTACCAAATTTAAGGTTCTGCCAGTTTCAACACATCGGCATTCGAGGTGAGTAGTTTGAATATTTGTGCGCGTGAGCATGAAGATGAACATGGGAATGAACGTTAAAAAATTACTAGTATGTGATTTTTTGTATGATGTCTGCTTATGTTATTTACCAATGACTGCTGTATGATCAATCTTGAATTCTTGAAGCTATCTATGTGATTTTGGACGTACATAGGATGGTTGGTTGATCCGGCTTTGGCTTATTTACACCGGTCAGGGCGGTCACTGTAGTGAGCAAGCTAGAATATGTTTTATCCAAATTGTACTCCATATAACTTTGAAAAATATTGAGAAAGTTGATCAAAGATATGGGGAGAATTCTGCAGTATATATGGACAGAAATGCTCCATGCCAATTATTCTATCCTGCAATACCAGAGTTAGCATCTTGGCAAGATATTTCTGTTTTTCTTTGCATATTCACTCTCGTTGCAGCCAATGTTTGCGTGAAATGTGGTTGATTTGGTCTAATTATAAATAAAAATTCAAAGGCATATTATCTTCTCGAGATTCTTGATCAACATCTAGCATATATATTACCCAGTTAAATGAACGAAAAGATAAAGCGGATGCCTTAGCTTAGCATCTAGCCATTATCTAAGAAATTCGAATGCCTCCTCGAATTTGATAGGATATTATATTCGTTTGTTTGGAAATGAGTATGTTTCTTTCTCAGTTGAAAGTATGTAAATTAGATGCGTCCTTGAATTTGATAGGATATTATATTCGATTGTACGGACATGCGTATGTTTCTTTCTCAGTTGAAACTTGAAAGTAAGTTAGATGCTGATAAGTATGATTAACAGTGGAGGCATCGGCATATAAAAGATGGAGGCATCTTTAATATGGGTGTTCTTATCACATTCAGTTAATAAATTTTTTGCATATATCGTTGTCTATTCAGTTAAGTATTGCAAATTTAATAAGAATCAGCTTTTTGTGAAAGGACTTTTCATACCTGTATTGTGAATCATATCCTCTTTTCAAGCCTTGTGAAATCACTAAAGGCAGAGATGCAGACAATATTTGATTCTAAAATTTGGATTGACGTCCACATAAACTACTGTACTATCCGTTTTATAAATCAGGAACACAGATTTCTGCAGAATCAGAAATTACTGAGACCATAATATTTTCCATGCACTACTTCTAATCTGATACATCAAAAGTCTCATACACACACGACACCTTCGAATTTGCTACTGAACTGAAAGTAAAAAGGTAACTGAAGCTACTGTTTTTATTGATCTTGTTTATTCTGTCAGTTAATTTATTCACTGATCTTGTTTATCCTGTGGTGGTTGCATGTAACTGATCTTGACAGAACTTGATGGGGAGCGAGGTGAAGCACATAGCATATGGACCGTGGGGAGGTCAAAGTGGGTATAAATGGGATGATGGAATCTATTCCGGTGTAAGGCAAGTAGTGATCTCTACCAGTTCAGTTGGAATCCATTCCGTCCAGTTTGAGTATGATAAGAATGGTCGCGCAATTTGGTCTGACAAGCATGGTGGCAACAATGGTACTAGGACTGATCAGGTAATCATTCATATATGTCTACAGTTAGTTACCTTCTGATTGAACCGAGCTTTCCTTTTTCTTAAATGGAGAAGTTATAAACCTTATAATGATCTGAGCCTGATCTTAATTGTTTTGTGTCCAACTTCTGATGTTTTGAAACCAAAAACAAAATTAATTTTGTTCATTATATTATACAATCTGCTTGTATATTACAAGTATATGACTTGTATATTCTCAAAGTATAAAAATTGCTATGGTTGTGCAGATCAAGCTTGACTACCCTACTCAATATCTAGTCTCAATTAGCGGATTTTGTGGCTCTATTACGAAAGGTGGTCCAGTGATTGTCCGCTCACTTTTCTTGCAAACCAACAGGAAAAAATATGGACCTTTTGGTATTGAGCAAGGAGCTCCTTTCTCACTGCCTGTTAATGATGAGATGTTAGTGGGTTTTCATGGATGGAGCAGTGAATACCTTGATTCAATCGGGGTTTACGTAAAATCTCAACCGCAAACAAATCTTTTGGAGACACATAGGGTATGGACAAGATTTTCATCTCTCTCTCTCTCTCTCTCTCTCTTTTTTTTTTTTTTTTTTTTTTTTTTTTTTTTTTTTGTTTTATATTTTTTAATCCTAGTGATTTATTGTGTGTCAAGCTTAAACTCAAAATTGCAAGTGATTAACGTTTTGACAAATTCAACAATAGATGCTCCCTACTACTCATGTTAGAGTTCCTGGGATTAACAAGAAAGTCCTGTCACTTGGACCGTGGGGTGGTGATGGTGGAACAAACTTCGATGATGGAATTTATACAGGGGTTCGAGAAGTACATATAACGCGATCAGGAGGGCTGGTATCCGTTAGAGTTTGTTATGATCAAAATGGGAAGGTGGTTTGGGGGAATAAGCATGGTGGATCTGGAGGACTCAAGCTTGACAAGGTTTGTATTTCTTACCTCTTTTGTTCTGTGGATTATTCTGTTATCTTAAACAGAATTTTGTCAATTTTTTTGGGCACTTTGCAGATTGTTTTCGACTATCCCTACGAAATCCTGACTCATATAACAGGATTCTATGGATCCACAATCCTGCGAGGACCTACAGTTGTCAAATCACTTACTTTCCACACCAACAAAAGGAGTTACGGACCATTTGGAGATCCACAAGGGTTTTCGTTCTCCACAGGTTCGTTAGGTGCAATTGTTGGCTTTCATGGAAGAAATGGATATTTTGTGCATAGCCTTGGAGTCCATGTTCTCGAAAGCAAACCAGTCTATCCTCAGTCTTATCCTGATTATGACATGCCCAACCATGTTCTTGAAAGAAAACCATATGCTGATCATTATGACATGGCTAAACATGTTCTTGAAAGAAAACCTGTCCTTCCTCAGCCTTATGCTGATCATTATGACATGCCTAAACATGTTCCTGATAGAAAACCAGTCCTTCCTCAGCCTTATGCTGATCATTATGACATGCCTAAACATGTTTTTGAAAGAAAACCAGCCATCCATCCGCCTTATCCTGATCATTATGATATGCCTGGCGTAAAGCCTTCTGAGGTAATTTTAATGCAACGTGCATAATACTATTACTACTATAGCAGACTTCCATTAAAGTAGAAGAGAACTATTTCATTACTTTTCATTCTGTATAATATGCAGGTAGTATGGGGAATGCCAAGACAACCAGCTCTCTATGATTCAGGTCAATCAGGGCCATGGGGAGGTGAAGGAGGTAAGTCATGGGATGATGGAGTATATACTGGGGTCAAGAAAATTATTCTAACAAGAGGAGATGCTATTTGCTCAATACAGATTCAGTATGATGAACACGGCCACTCTGTTTGGTCTGCTCCACACGGAATAGCCAACGACGCTTGCACCTACCATGTAATTGATTTTTTCTGGTCTACTTATTCAAGTATTCAACACTTCATATGTTTTGTTGTACTCTTCTTCTGTTCATTAGTTTTCATTTTCGCACAACCTTAAGATTCTTAATCTCTCATAATTATGGATATCAGGATATGGCATTATTTTGCAAACATATCTATCACAACCCATTAAGCTGAATTTTTTTTTCGGGCATCCCAACAATATGTCAATATGTAATCCTACTTTATTGTGCACTGTCTTTTTAAGTTTAGGCACACAACTGTACCAATTTGCAGTTTTTTTTGTTTTTTGTTGTTCATCTATGAAATTTAGACATTGAAAGTAATTTGACCCTGACTTTCCATGCTGCAGATAAAATTTGATTACCCATACGAAGTACTTACAAGCATCAGTGGAAGCTATGATATTCTAGTCGGAGATATGTACAGAAGGGTAATAAGATCTCTCACCTTCCATACGAACAAAGCTAAATATGGACCCTACGGGAAACCCATAGGCACACACTTTTCTTCAAGTAATAAAGAAGGTAAAATAGTCGGCTTCCATGGAAGGAGTGGCACTTTCTTGGATGCTATTGGAGTCCATATGCAGCACTGGGTGAGCGACGAACTGTCACATCAACCATATTCTCCTGAGAGAGGAGGCTTCACAAAAATCCTGAACAAAATGTACAAATGATGTGTGTATAATTATGCATGGGATCTTTGTACATATTGCAGTATGGAAACTGCTAGCTTGTATAATAGGTTTCAGATGATGTTTGCTGTTTTTAATCAACTTTGTATTATGCATGTTTATGTGTATTGATCATCTGATTTGCATGTGTTCTTGTAAAGAGTCACCTGTATAATAAAACTCATATGATCATGGTTTTGCAAAGGCTATTAGTGCAATTAATTCACATGGAATGCACATTATGCTTGCAATTTATCGTTTTCTAATCAGATGAGAAATTTATGAGCATTGAATGGGTGCAAAAGCTATGAAAAGTTATGTTAATGTTACACTTTGTACCTTATAAGAAAGAATTAATTTTGACAAGGAAGTTCAAGATAAGTGCTAGAAAAAAGATTTAAGATCAGTAATTATTCTATTGGATCATACTTGCTTAACATCTTATTAGTTATTAGTTTGATAGTAAAAACTCAATTATCAAAATATACAGAACCAAGAGGTTGGGGCCTAGGGTCTTTGCTTAATTATTTTTGCTCTGTTGAAGATTTGAAGTGGGTTAACTGTTTAAATTTTTAATTGATTGGGTAAAACCGATACCCGGTATGATAAAAAAAAATATGCCTAGTTACAAGAATAAAGCATACATGGCCATTTTTCATACTCCCTCGTTTTAGGCAATTGTATTAAAAATTGTAAAAGAAAGATAATTGGGTTAAATAGTTTATTGAAAAGTAATGACCATTTTTCATACTCCCTCGTTTTAGGCAATGTTTAGTTCACCCTTCACCTTATTTAAGAACCTTATAAAATACTTTGTATTACTTATTTGAGATTTGATCAGGAAAAATTAATTCAAATTTGATTAGATCAGAAAAAATAAATTCAAATTATATAAACACAAGGTGAATTAAACATAATCTAAACTGTTTACTCACAATAAATATCAATAACGTTTTACTAAAGAATTAAAGATTATATTTTCTCAACTAAAACGACTTGAAATGAAATTAACTTTGTTCATAAGATCAGGGCCTTTTACTAGTATACGAGATATTGTAATAAACAATTTTTTATTTTTTTATTTTTTTATTTTTTTTTGTCCTATGGTAAATATGGAATCAAAAAAGATTTTTTTTGAAGACTGGAATTAAAAAAGATAGTGCCCCATCCCTCCAAACTAAGATAGAGTGGATTCCCCGCCACAACCTTTATTCTCCAAATCTCTTCATCATCTTCAAACTTTAACAGATTTTTGAATACCGAGAAAAAATTTAGGACAACCCATTTGAATTTTTGAAACAATAATTCAGAAAGAATTTAAATTGTTGTTCTTCAATGGAGAGCTTAATCATCCCCTGCAAATCCACCCCTCCTATACCAATCTTTTCTGATTTTTCTCACAATCCCATTAAATCAACACTTTCTCTTTCTAAAACCCATCAACCATTTCCCTCTAAAACCCCAGATTTTGCTCATTTGAATCATCTTCTCAAGATTGGTCGTTTTAAGGAAGCTGTAATTGCTCTGGATTCAATTTCAGAAAATGGGTTTAAGCTTAATTCTGATGCATTTTTACAGTTGTTAGATTGTTGTATTGAACTTAATTCAGCTGAATTAGGGCGTGAATTGCATTCTAGGGTAAACTTAGTTCAGGATGTTTGCCCCTTTGTTGAGACTAAATTGGTTAGTATGTATGCTAAATGTGGGTGTTTGGGTGATGCTCGTAAGGTGTTTGATGAAATGTCTGAGAGAAACTTGTTTAGTTGGTCAGCTATGATTGGGGCTTACTCTAGGGAGCAAAGATGGGGTGAGGTGGTAAGGTGGTTGGGTTGTTTGGTTTGATGATGAAAGAGGGTATTTTGCCTGATGGGTTTTTGTTTCCTAAGATTTTACAAGCTTGTGGGAATTGTGAGGATTTTGAGACTGGAAGATTGATACATTCATTGGTGATTCGAAGTGGGATGAGTTCGTGTAGGCGGGTTATTAATGCATTGTTGGCTGTGTATGCTAAGTGTAGAAAAATGAGTTTAGCTAGGAGATTTTTTGAGGAGATGGATAAGAGGGATATTGTTAGTTGGAACTCAATGATATCCGGATATTGTCGTACAGGGGAGAATGTTGAAGCGCATAGGTTACTGAATATGATGTTTGAAGAGGGGATTGAACCTAGCATGATAACTTGGAACATATTAGTTAGCGGTTACAATCAATCAGGTAATTGTGATGCTGCAATGGAACTCATCAACAAGATGAGAGGTTTCGGAGTGATCCCTGATGTTTTTACCTGGACCTCAATGATCTCAGGCCTTGCACAGAACAATAGGGTTGTTGAAGCATTAGAACTTTTCAGGGAGATGCTTTTGGTTGGTGTTCAACCAAATGAGGTTACCATAGCTAGTGCAGTCTCTGCCTGTGCATCTGTGGAATTTCTTGAGAAGGGGAAAGAGCTTCATTCAGTTGCAGCTAAAATGGGTTTTTGTAGCAATGTTTTGGTTGGAAATTCACTTATAGACATGTATTCAAAATGTGGAGAATTTGAAGCAGCACGCAAAGTCTTTGATTTGATGTCTGAAAAAGATGTTTATACATGGAATTCAATAATAGGAGGCTATTGTCAAGGTGGTTATTGTGGCAAAGCCCATGAGCTGTTTATGAGGATGCAGAAATCAGATGTATCACCCAACGTTGTGACTTGGAACATCATAATCTCAGGTTACATCCAAAATGGAGATGAAGACCAAGCCATGGAGATCTTTCAGATGATGGGCAAAGCAGGAATAGTAAAGCCTAATACATCATCATGGAACTCTCTTATTTCTGGTTATCTGCATATGGGGAGCAAGGATGAGGCACTTATGATCTTCCGACAAATGCAATGTTTTGGTTATCGACCCAATCCAGTTACAATTTTGTCAATTTTACCTGCTTGTGGTAATCTAATAGCAGCAAACAAGGTGAAAGAGATCCATGCTTGTGTGCTGCGCGGAAATTTAGATTCCCATATCGCTGTTTCAAATTCATTTATTGACGTTTATGGCAAGTCAGGCAACCTTGCTTACTCAAGGTCTGTATTTAACTGTATGTCGTCAAAGGATATCATCACTTGGAACTCATTTATTGCTGGTTATGTTTTACATGGCCGTTCAAATGATGCACTTGATGCCTTTGATCTGATGACAAGGGAAGGATATAAGCCTAATAGAGGTACTTTTGTAAGTCTTATACTTGCATGCAGTCGTGTAAAATTGGTTGAGAAAGGGAAGCAAGTGTTCAGGAGCATGACCAAAGATTACCACATTGTGCCTGGTTCTGAACACTATGCAGCTATGGTAGATTTATTTGGCAGATCAGGTAGGCTAAGAGAGGCAATTGAATTCATTAGCTGTATGGAGACGGAACCTGATTCAGCTGTATGGGATGCATTGCTGACAGCTAGTCGATCCTGTAGTAACATTGCTTTGACAATCCATGCAGGTGAACATTTGCTTAAATTGAACCCTGGAAATGGTGTAGTCCACCATTTGCTTTCACAGGCTTATATGGCATCTGAAAGATCTGTCAACACTCTAGAGCGCAGGGCACTTGGAAATTTGGATTTGAAAAAACCTTGCGGGTGCAGCTTGCTTGAATTGAAAAATCAGGTGTATCAGTTTGTTAGTGGTGACCGTTGTACTTCAGGTTTGAGCGCTATTTCTTCTTGGCTAAAGAGTATTGAAGAGCATATTGAGTTACCTGACTCTGAAAGTATGCACTATGTACATGAAGAAGATTTTGAAGAAGTTAGTGGGTTACACAGTGAAAAGCTTGCCCTTGGTTTTGCTCTTCTCAACACAGATTTTAAAGTAAAATGCACAAGGATTGTGAAGAACTACCGAATTTGTGAAGACTGCCATTGTACAGCTAAATATATTTCTTCAGCATATGGTTGTGAAATACTATTAAATGATACAAAGTGTTTGCATCATTTCAAATAAGGGCGATGTTCTTGTGGGGATTATTGGTAGTGTAGATAACAGTGACTGGCAACCAATTTTATTTGTGGATTTGCTGACAATCTGTAAATATGTAGTGAACCAGATGTCTTTTGGCTGGACAGGAATCTTAACAATGTGTAGTTTCTGAAGATAAGACATTTTTTTGCATCATATGGCACTTACATATAAATGATGAAATGATCCACATTAAGTTCCAACAATATTGAACAACCATTCTTATTGTGTTCTGAGTTTTCATATGTTTCTGACCTGTTATTTGCTTGGAGTTATATCTATTTACATCTCAATCAATTCAATTTTTTGCAAGTTTTGAATTGTCTTGTGCTCAGATTTTTGTCTCAGCACCCTGATTGTTGCTCTTTCTGTTGCCTGTAAAATGCCTCTTTTCCTTAAATGTTTCAGGTTGCTTCATGCAAAGCTAAGGGCTTGAGGATGAATTCTCTTCCAGAAGCATACCCACCCATCATTGGTACTATGGTACAGAAAGATGTCAGGGGAATTTCCATTTGTTAAATTTGTTTGTCTTCTGTGTCCTTAATGCACATGAAAGAAATACGGCTCCAATTGCTTGTTTTCCCTTAATCATGTTTGAGGGGCAAGGAGCAGGTTAGAACTTATATTGTACCAGGTATTTTTTCTTCATAGATATGTTAGTTACTTACTCTCAACAAATCTAAGTGGAGTCATTCATGTAACATTTGCTACATTATTCTTTGGGTCGATTCAATTTTTGATCAATGGTTTGCTTTGGGTGTATTACATTGTAATGTGAGGCAATTTTTGTTCTGTACTTTTCAATCTCTTCTCCCATGATTCTTGCTTCTTTGATCTTTGAATTAAAAATCATTTACACTTTGACCATGTTTTACAGAATAGAGAGTTCCAATTTACATGTTACAACCTGGAATTTTTTATCTTTGAGGATCCTATGTCTATTTAAGTTCGTTTTATATCGATTGCCATCTTTAAGAAATAGTATCTGATTCTCTAGATTTGATTGATGATTTAGAAATTATTTGATATTTCGTATTTGTCAAAATTATGAAGCTAGAATGAGGCTTATAGTTGCATGAGAATCATCAAGACCATTCTTTTCGTGCAATTGAGTAGTGTAAGGGGCATTGGGATATATGTCAACGTATAACCTTTTCTGTAAGAGGAAATACAGACTAACCTTTTTCTTCTTTTAAGCAGGGAGAAGGATTGGAAGTTAGAGTGATAGACAGCTTTCAGCCTTT